GACCTCATCTCTACAATAAATAAAAAAATCAGCCGGGCGTGGTAGCGCATGCCTGTAATTCCAGCTACTTGGAAGGCTGAGGCGGAAGGATCACCGGAGCCTAGCAGGTCAAGGCTGTGGTGGGTCGGAGCAGCCACTACATTCCAGTCTGGGTGACAGAGTGAGACTCCAACTCAAAAAAAAAAAAAAATCGTCATAAGCTCTCATATTAAACTGTTGTAGGAAGAGTCCTTGAGGTTGGGCTTGACATATCCTGTAACGGACTCTATCCTTGGTATGTGGTACTCGTAGTTTTTCAAAAATGAATCTCGCAATTTGGATGGATTTAGAGTCTATCATGCTCAGTGATCTATCACAGAAACAAAGAACAGAGTACCATGTATTCTCATTCATAAGTAGACCTTGAACATCATATCATAATACTGTAAGAAAGGGACTGGCAATAGTGGGAAACTGCCAGGGGAGGGGGGTAGGATTGGTAGTTGAGGGAAACTGCCAGGGGAGGGAGGGGCACACCTCATCTACAAGGGTACCTGCATAATGAACATTTGTATACCTAACCCTGAATTGTACCCCACATCTTAAAAAAAAAAGAATATCATATACATAGTCTTATACCCAATATACGAACTATATATCTCAAAGGGATATCATCAGATATATTGTGTATTTCACCACCACCAGCATAATACACAACTTGGAGAAGACACCAATGAAAGTCAGCCTTGAAACTACATTGGAAATGATCATTTTGACTATATTTTAATCTCATATACAATTAAGCTTCAGGCTGACAGTCATGGATATATGCTCTCAGTGGTGCTTAGGTCCTAGAACCTGAATATCCAGCCCCACAGAGAACTGACCCTGACACTCATCATAAGGTCCCTAGAAAAATAGACAAGTTTCCTAAGTAGACGTTTACTTCCCAAGAGTCCATGGATCAAAAAGATAACAGCAGGAGTTGACTACTCTCTCTAAAGACCTTCCAATCCCTCAACAGGCAACACATATTTAGACTTATATCTCATATGTTTATAATCTTTATCTGAAAATTACAGGGTCTAAATTAATTTTTTGTTTTTGTAGAGAGAGGGTCTCGCTATGTTGCCCAGGCTGGTCTCGAACTCCTGGCATCATGCAACCCTCCTGCCTCAGCCTCCCAAAGCACTAGGATTACAGGTATGAACCACTGTGCCCAGTCCAAAACCTTGTCTCATATTCTAGCAGCACACAGTAACTCATTGATTTTCTAAAGAGACAGCTCAGCTCCATCCTAATTACCAAACCAACTGGGACCTGGGATAGGCAGTGCCCAACCAGGCTCCACTCAGGTTTCTCCATTCACCATCTAATGAAGTTTACTAGCACTCGATACCATTCCAGATGCAAACTAGGATCTGATGGTGTTAGAGATAGCCACAGGATTCTCATGTTATCCAAGTCACTGACTTGACCATTTTGACTTCATGGAAAACTCCATTTCATCACTCCACTATACAGCAGTGGTATACTGGGGGTTAGGGGAGGAGAAAAATAACACTAGGGGGTTGCACTGTCTATATAAAATTGTAAAATAATAACAAAATTGACAGTCAATCTGCTTTTTATCATCATCAAGCACTAGCAATTCTAAGCAATGTCAGTAACATTCCTTCCCATTAGGGTAGACTGATCCTGCCACCACCACCCACTGACAAGCCTCTGCTATTTAGGCATCACCTGCTTTCGGAACCTTTTACCCACCCCAAAACAGAATTAATCACCTCCTCCCAAATCCTTAATGCACACCTGAATCTCCTTCAAGAACACAGCCATATTAAGTGGAGCATGTCTGTAATCCCTAGTATGCAGGCATTCAAGAAAAGATTTACCCTTCTAGCCACCCACCCTTCATTTGTCTCAGCTGCCCAGTAAGATCCTCAGTGAGTGAAATGTGCTAAGTCCTAGTTACTCTATATTGCTAGAAGAAAGTTATCATGACTTACAATCAACTTTTAGGCCACACTAAACACCCACAGAATCTAATTTGAATTCCAAAGGCTGGTATTCATAGCACACCACAATCTGGACACAGCTCTAATTCCTACTACTAAATCTTAATACTCATATTTAGTATATTTCTGCCTATTACATGGAAGTCCTTTTTGTATTACAGTGCTTCGTGTCTGATTTACCTGTTAAGGCCCAGAAGAAAATTTAAACAGTTCTGTTTTAGTGCTGTAGATGCAAAAGACACTTAATTCTAATGAATAAACTAGGGACAGCTAATATATAAAAGAGTAGAATACATTTTTATTATACACTTTTTAAAAAAAATTCCTTTCCAGTGGCTAGGTGGGAACCGAGGCAGAGGCCTAGGGCATGGGAGATAACGTGAACTGGCGAATAGGAATTTCTGCCCAAATTGGAGATATGGATGAAGATCGATTAATTGAAGAAGTCTTGGATAAGTTTGTTAATTGTCATCAGCAAACATATGAAGAATTTCTGAGCACTTTTACTCATCTTTCAAAAGAGGATCATATGACCAAAAGGGGAGTGTTTGGAACAAATTCCTCAGAAAATGTATCTATCTCAGCAAAACTTACTCATAAAATGAAGCAAATGACCACCACCTCAGCAATAAAACCGTATTTCTTCGTACTTCATCCCAATGTTCAGAAGAACAGATAGTGGTGAATGAAGGTCAACAAATTGACAATTTCTTGCAAGGTGATCTGAATCAGGCAGAAGAGGTGAAGGTAGACAGTTTCCTTGATTTAGAAGATTTGGACGTGGATGAAGAGATTAATCCTCAAATGAGCAAGCATCTGCTGCTGCTTCCAGGAGAAGTGGAGCCGACTGTAAACACCAGTGCTCTTCCTTGCACACCTGCCAAGGCCTGGCCTCTCACCCATGAAGTGAAGCCAAAGCCCACCGTGAAAAGGAGCAAAGGGCAGGAGGAAGAGATACTTGGAGATGAAGTTCAACCCTTCTCACTTGATGAAGAATTTGATTATGACAATGTGACACTCACCCCCAAGTTCAGTCTTGTGGAGTTAGAGGCCATCAAAGAGCTATCCAAGCAAAAGAGGAAGAATGCTAACATGGATTTAGAGGACCCCTGTGAGTGATTCACTGAGGCGTTTTTGTGCTTTTTATTTGTTCTTATTCAAGCAACACTGAAATAAAGATAAACCTATTAAAAAAAAATTGCTTTCCATAGAAAACATTTTCATATTAGAGATTCCTGGTGGGAAAATTTATTACTCATAGTTTTAAATCTGTGAACAGATTATTTTAGAACAAGTAAAACATATTTGAATATTAAATCTCAGTTTATTTATTTTATTATTACTTATTTATTCAAGTCAGGGTCTCACTCTGTCTCCCAGGCTGGAGTACAGCGACACAATCACAGCTCACTGAAGCCTCGACCTCCTGGTCTCAGGCAATCCTCCTGTCTCTGCCTCCCGAGTAGCCAGGAGGCACGCAGTAAAACACTTGACTAATTTTTTTATTTTTCTGTACAGACAAGGTTTGCTATGGTACCCAGACGGGTCTCAAATTCCTGGACTCAAGCAAGCCCTCTTGCTTCAGTCTCTCTAAGTGCTGGGATCACAGGCGTGAGCCACCATGCCCAGACTAAGTCTCCAGTTTAGAATGTGCCATATTTTTATACAGCTACAGAGAGACCTAGTCCTTAAATAGAACTTCTCTATGTTCAGAAACTCTCCAAACTTTTCTTCCAAGGGTTTAGAAATTCAAAATGTGAGACATCAACATTTCCTAATTTTATTTATTTATTTTTCTTTCTTTCTTTTTTTTTTAAAAGAGACAAGGTCTCATCACATTGCCCAGGCTGGTCTCAAACCCGTGGGCTCAGGCAATCCTCTTTCTTCCACCTCCCAAAGTGGGGAATTACAGGAGTGAACCATCGTGCCTGGCAGCGTTTCCTAATTTTAAAGTTTCCCTATTATATGTAACCATCAGTAGTAGCTGGTATCTACTGAATAAAGAGGGAAGTTTTCAAAAATTAAACACTGTCTAATTTTCTGCAAAGTTTTTATTCAGTATTTCCCTTTGTTCATTATTACCATAATAGATATAGAAGTCTGATCATGTATTAATAGTAATAAAGCTGAAATCTCTTGAAGAGATTGATAAATTAGAAGGAAAAAGCTCATATATAATATTTAGTTATACTGTAAGTCTTGAGATACTGGGAGACAATCCCATTATCTCACCAAAATGCAGAACTCAGTCTCACAATTTCTTGGATGCAACTCCTCCCAAACCTTTTCCTCAAATATTAAATTCTGCAAATAACCATGTGATTAAGAGATCTGTCCACCAATAAACTAATCTGTTATTTCTTCCTTATTGTGAGCTGAATGGCATGATAAAGCAGAGGCAAAGAGGCATACAATCAAATTCTTGCATGTATTAAGTCAAAAAGGTCAAAGCTTCCACAGCATGGCAACAGCTCTGCAGATACCCACGTCATGATAGTTGAAATAACAAAGCCCAGCAAATGTTAAAGCCGAAAGTGCCAAAAGGCCAGCCTTGGCAGCTTTCTGCGATGTGTCACCATGAACGTAGTCAGTAACAACTTGTCCAAGGCCCCTAAAGAAAGAAAAAGAGATAGCACAAATGAAAATCACAAGTGAAGTTAGAAGACTATACAGACAATTTAGTTGCAAGAAAATAATCAGTCAAGTTCAAATTGCAGTGTCTCTATTTACCACTCCAATAATTGCTTGCTACTTCAGGGGATTCTGTGTAGCCATTTTATTTTTTCTGTCAACCTGTTTCTAGTGATGTGGGGTTTTTAAAATTTTTTTTTTAATTTTTAATTTTAAAATTTTGGGGTACAATTCAGGATTAGGTATACAAATATTCATTGTGCAGGTACCCTTGTTGATGAGGTGTGTCCCCGCTTCCCCAGTTTCCTGCTACTGCCGATCCCACCTCCCCAGGGCTCCAGTTTCCCATTACTGTCAATCCTCTTCTTACAGTATTACGATAGTTGTTCAAGGTCCACTTATGAGTGTGAACATGTGAAACTCAGTTCATTGTTTCTGTGAAAGATCACTCAGTATTACAGTCCATCCAGGTTGCTGTGAATTTCATAATTTTGTTCTTCTTTATGACTGCGTAATATTCCATTGTGCATATGTACCAGTCCTCTTTTGCAGGCAGCATGGTTGGTTCCACATTCTTGCTATTGTGAACAATGCTGTGATAAATATATGGTGCAGGTATCTTTTTTATAGAGTGATGTGAGTTCTTCCGGGTATATTCCCAGTAGGGGGATTGCGGGGTCATATTATTTTTTTCTTCTTTTTAGAGATAGGGCCTTGCTCTGTTGTCCAGGCAGATCTTGAACTCCTGGCCTCAAGTGATCCTCCTGCCTTCGCCTCCTGAGGTGTTGGGATTCCAGGTGTGAGCCACTGCACCCATGTGTGTAGGTGAGATTACTGCTATTCTCCAAGATGCTAAACCAAAACAACTCATGGTGATAAGAATAATCAACAAAAATGAATGAATCAGGAATTTCCTAATAATGTAATAGACATCTTTCTATTCTTCTAATTCAGTTTTCCAGAGTCATTTATATCAGAGACAGTAACTAACCGCTACTTTATTTACAAATTGTTGTTGCTGTTAACTAAAACAAATGCTCTACAGAGTTTTTCATTAATTCAGAAAGAATTTACTAAGTCGAGTGCCAGAATCTGTCATAAATGTTGGGGAGTACAGTAAATAAGACAGCATTCCTGCCTTTATGGAACAAATATTCTTGTGATGAGAAACAAAAGCAAACATGTATATACTATAAAGAAATATCCTGAAAAGGATGACCTGAAGAAGAACATTCCAAACAAAAGTGGCATCTCTGATGAGTAAGGAAGCTGGTGTGGGTGGAAGACATGAGAAAAGCAAGGAAAGCAAGGGCAGTCACGGTAAGGAGTTTGAATTTTATTGGACATATAACAAATCACTGAAATGTTTTAAGCAAGGTGTGCCCTAAGTAAGGAATGAGCTAATTTTACTAATGGTTTTTAAGTTTTATTGAGATGTAGTTCACATACTGTAAAATTCATCCCTTTTAAGTGTCTACTTCAGTGGTTTTTTGTATATTCAGAGTTGTGCAACCATCATTATATAATTACAGAGCATTCTAATCATCCCCCAAAAAACCCCTCTACCCATGAGCCCACTACCCAACTATTAATTTGCTTTCTGTCTCTACAGATTTGCCTATTCTGGACATTTCATATAAAAGAAACCATACAATATGCCACTTTTGTGTCAAGCTTCTTTCCCTTAGCACAATGTTTTCAATGCCCACGCATATCACAACATGCATCAGTATTTCATTCCTTTATATGGCAGAATAATATTCTATTGTATCAATATGCCATCTTTTGTTTAGCTATTCATCAGTTGACAATAACTAGCATCATTCCTACTTTTTGGCTATTATAAATAATTCTGCTATGATCATTCCTGTATAAGATTTTATGTGGACACATATCTTTTCAATTCTCTTGGATATACACCTAAAAGCGGAATTGCTGAATCATACCATAACTCTAAGGTTAACTTTTTGTTGGAACTGCCAAACTGTTTTCAAAGTGGCTGCAATATTTTACACTCCTAGCAGAAACATATGAGGGTTCTGATTTCTCCAAGTCCTCAGCCAACACTTGTTACTGTTCGTCTTTTATTATAGCTATCCTAGTAGGATATGAAGTATTATCTCCTAACGGTGTTTGATCTGCATCTCTCTAATGACAAATGATGTGGAGCAATTTTTTCATGTGTGTTGTGTATCTTCTTTGAAAAAATGTCATTTTACTTTATAAAAAGGTTACTCTGACTATAGTGTGGAGATTGAATACAGTGGGCAGGGGAAGGGGGCAAAAACAGAATCAGGAAACTAGTTAGAAGGCAACTGAAGTAGCCTAGGCAAGACTGTTGGCTTAAGCTAGGCTGCTGACAAGGGAGATGATGTAAAGTGACCACGGAGGCTATGTTTTGCAGAAAGAACAGAAAGAGCTGATGGATTAGTTATGGGGTAAGACAAAAAGAAAGGTCTAGAATGACTCCTGGGATTTTTAGCTTGAGCAGCTAGATTTAACTGAGGGAGAAATCAAGGGAGATTGGGGGAGGCAGAGAGTGATTTGGACACTATTAGATTTAGGGTGACTATCAGACATTCAAATGAATATCAGACAATTAAATATACAAATGTGCAACTCAGGAAAATAGGACAGATCTGAGCCCGCCTAAGAAAAGAGTCTAGACAGAAAAATTAAGAAAGTTAAAACTGAGCTCTGGAGACTCTATCATTCAGACAAGAGGAGAAGGGTTTGGCAGAGGAGATATCTACAGCATCTGGAAAGCCAGAGAAAAGTGACTTGGGAGAATAATCAATTGAGTTGAAGGCTGTTGAGAGTTCAAGCAAGTGGAGGACAGAAAATAGACAGGTTTTGAAAGTTGGAGGTCTTTAGTGACCTTAGTAAGAATGATTTATGTTAAACAGTTGGGGTAAAACCTCAATTAATATAAGTTTAAAAAGACTGAATGTTGAGAACTTGAGCACAATTATTGGCAACTCCTTCAAAATGTATCACACATTAGAGAAATATTATTTACTGTACTTGTGATCTGTTACTTAATAGGCAACTGGAATGCTGTATTTGAAAACGTTTATCTGATAAAAAGGTGAATTCCCCTAATCAGTCCTAGAAAACTATAGGTAAGTAAAACCCCTTAATGCTAACTAGAGAATGATTCTCACAAATCATTATCCTCCCAGGGGTTTAATTTCTATATCTGTAAAATGAAAGGGTTGATTAAGATACTCCCCAAGGGGGTGTAAAAAAAAAAAAATACTTCCCAAGGCGGGGCTCAGTGGCTCAGCCTGGAATCCCAGCACTTTGGGAGACCAAAGCAAGTGGATTGTCTGAGCCTGCAGGTTTGAGACCAGCCCGGGCAACTTGGCGAGAACTCGTCTCTACAATAAATAAAAAATTAGCCAGAAATGGTAGCATGTACCTGTAGTTCCAGCAACTTGGAAGGCTGAGGCAGAAGGATTGCCTGAGCCCAGGAGGTTGAGGCTGAGGTGGCTGTGAGTGTGCCACTGCACTCCAGCCTGGGTGATAGAGTGAGACTCCAATTCAACCAAAAAAATTTTAAAAAGACACCCCCCAAAGGCCTTCCGGTTTTAACAATCCAAAATACCTCTCCCACTTGCAATAGCAACATATTGCCCCTGAAAAACAACATAAAGGAACAGCTTAAGGAACCCAATGTCATTTACAGTCTTTGTAGAAGATTAACTTAGAAAGTCTTGTAAACTGTACCAGATAAAATAAATAGAAACCAGATATTCATCTGTTTCACAAATATTTACTGAGTGCTGTGTGTCAGGTACTGTTTTAGGCACAAGAGATACAACAGCAAAAAAAAAATATTAAAAAATAGACCAGGCACAGTAGCTCATGTCTGTAAATCTCAGCACTTTGGGAGGCCAAGGCGGGAGGATTGCTTGAGCCTAGGAGTTCGAGACCAGCCTGGGCAACATAGCAAGACATTCTCTATAAAAAATCGAAATATAAGCCTGGCATGGTGGCAAGTGCCTGTAGTCCCAGCTACTTGGGGGGCTGAGGTAGAAGAATCGCCTGAGCCCAGGAGATTGAGGCTAAGAAAGCCTGGATTAATCAGCTTGGGTGACAGAGTAAGGCTTCAACTCAGGGGGAAAAAAAAATCTGAATAATGGCTCCTAGCATGGGGAGGGGTGCAATGTTGAGCACTTATGACTGAGATGAAACACAAAGAAGCAGCTTCTGGAATAGACGGCATAATTCTATATCTTAGCCTGGGCCATATCACCCTTATAATAATTCATTTAGCTATAGATTTTATTCTGTGTTTGTGCATTCAATCTTGGGGCGAGAGGGACATCAGATAACATACAAAATAATAGATGATGTAATATATTAAAAGACAGTAAGTGCTACTGAGAAAAATAAAACAGGAGAGAGAGATAAACAATGCTGAATGCTAGGACAGACACTGCAATTTTAAACAAGTGGTTAGGGAAGATCTTGTTGAGAGAGTGAACAAGAAACTAGAAAATGTTTCAGGGAGAAGGAACAGTAAGAGCAAAGCCTAGACACCTAGTCACTGGTGTGTTTGAGAAACCTCAAGGAAACCAATGTGAATGAAGACAACACCTAAAGATAAAGGAAGAAACAGAGGGCTTGATTGTGCAGATCTGGAGACCACGATCTAAGAATTCTGACTTTTCGTCTGAGTAACAAGAGGAGACAAAGAACATTTCTGAGAAGGGTATGTCTTCTCTGGATTTAACATTTTAACAGGATCACTAGGCCTGCTGTGTTGGGAACAGACACAAAGAAGACCATTTAAGAGACTACTACTAGAGTCAAGGATAATGACCAGGTTTGAGGCATAAACAGAAATACCATTAACTGAGATAGGCAAAGCTGCAGAAGGAACAGATGGGGGGGGAGATTAGGAACTCAGTTTTATGACAAGCTTCATTCAAAATGCTATCAGACATGGAAATGCAGTCATTAAATGGATAGATTAATATATAAATCCAGGCATATAAATATTTTACACAAACTTTAAAGTTTTCCACAGATCTTAAGCATTTCAGTTGCCTTCTCCCTCACAGGTAATACATGAGACAAGCTCACAGCAAGCACACTGAACAGACAATATAATACCGAAGGAACTGCGATACTTACCAGTGGCTATGGAGAGTGATGGCTGCAGCCAGAGAGTAATCCATCGCAGAGCAAGGATTCAAATAAGCAGCTGGAAGCAGGCCCAGGAGCAGAACACTGACCACCCTCTCACTAGTCCAGTGGAGAGATGCAGCCTTGGAACCAGCTACAAAAAGGGGCAGATTCATTAGAGTTGAGAGAGAAACACACATCTCTCATGTTCAACATTTGCCACAAAGTAACCCAAACTGACAGACAACATACATATAAGATTTAACTTGGTGTGTAGTAACAGTAAGATATAAAAATACATAATTGAGAGAGAGACTAGCTCCCTCCTTTGAAGTCTTTTAGTACCTGAGTATCTCTCGCTTTTCTTTTTTTTTTTTTGAGTTGGAGTCTCAGGAGTCTCACTCTGTCACCCACGCTGGAGTGCAGTGGCATGCTCATGGACCTGCTGGGCTCAGATGATCCTTTTGCCTCAGCCTTCTAAGTAGCTGGAACTACAGGCACATGCCAACCAGATACTGGCTAATTTTTTGATTTACTGCAGAGGTAAGGTCTTACCAAGTTGCCCACCCTGGTCTCAAACCCATGGGCTCAGGTAATCCTCTCATCTCGGTCTCCCAAAGTCCTGGGATTTTAGGCATGAGTCACCGCACCCTGCCAGTACCTGAGTATCTCAATGCTTATACACTGACTAGAAGACAGAACCAAGAAGATAGATAAAATATCTGTAGAGAATTAAGCCAGTCTTGGACTTCAGTGAAGTGGACAGATACCTTATAACTAAAAGTCAATGATGCCTGCTAAATTCCTTTAAAACATTATTTACATCTTCTAATATTTGGAAGTAATGTGATATTATCCTCTCAAAACAAAGTTGAGCCAGTCAATTTACAGAAAAGTAAAGTTCTGATTTCTACTTTTAGGACCATGGTCCTTCTGTCTCAATACTTATAAATAACCCAAAACAAATATGGAACATGAAAACTTCTTTTAAATAAGTGAAAAACAGTATGAACTTTAACATTTATTTGAAAACTTTAAACATTATCTTGTTTTGCTTACAGACCCCTTTGGGAATCTAGTAAAAGGATACAGCGTCTTCCCAGAAAACTGTGTAAGGGCACATACATAAAAATCAATGTATACAACTTCAGGGGCTTTCCTTCAGTCCATGCACTACAAGTTAAAACTACTCTGCTAAATCTAACTTAACTGAGAAAAGGAATCTAGAAACAAAAGTTTTTCAAATATAAAAAACTTTTAGGCTGGGCACAGTGGCTCATGCCTGTAATCTCAACACTTTGAGAGGCCAAGGTGGAAGGATCACTTGAGCCCAGGCATTTGAGACCTGCCTGGGCAACATAGCAAGACACTGTCTCTACAAAAAAAAAAAAACCCAAAAAATTAGCTGGGTGTGGTGGTGTTTATCTGTAATTCCAGCTACTCAGAAAACTGAGATGGTAGGATCACCTGAGCCCAGGAGGTCAAGGCTGTGGTGAGCCATGATTATGCCACTGCACCCCAGCCTAGGTGACAGAGTGAGACTCCCAACTCAAAAAAAAAAAAAAAAAAAAAATTACAGAACCAGAAAACTATACTTGCCTAATCTCTCATAATTCAGATGTACCTCTATCTATATAGTTGACTTGAGAATAAAGAGAAGTCTTTATCAAGTATTGCTCTCTCCAGACTTTAAAAACAGAAATACAGTCGACTCATTATTCACCCATAGATTTTCTAAAACTAATTTTAATGATAGCATTTTAATCGTGTTTAATAATATCTAAATAGCATTCATATGAAATGCCATATGGTTTTAAATTAACCTAAAAAAAAATAACCAAGTAAAGTATAGCTATAAATATCCATAATGCAGTTCATAGGACATGAGTTTTTACATTGTCCATTATTCTCAGTTCTACACGTCTGGCTCTTCTCCATTAGCTAAATAAATAAGAGTGACCAAACTATAATGAACAGACTCTTCCTACAGATCTATTTTCTTTTTAAGAAAAGTAAATATATTTTTTTAAAGACTTAGGCCAGAAGATCCTCTATGGATATAAATGACATCATTCAGTCATACTGACATTGTCTGCCCAAAAGCGTAAACTATATTTTCATTTGACAGAACTGGACACAACAGTCACCCTCACAGGTAGCAGGTCCTGCTAAAGACATGACAATTCATCCAGCTATAAATGGTTAGAGCCCAGAAGGCAGCAGTGACGGAAAGAACATACAGTGGTGGCTCGGTGACAGATGAATGTGCTGCACTCCACACCATCCTGGGGTAGGTTGCTCCTGAAGAAATGCTGAGACATAAGCAGGTCTGACCACTGGGGTTCGGAGGAATAGAGCTGAGGAAAGAGATATTAGAAGCATCACAAGAGCCTCTCAGGCTGACAGGCTTTCTGAATGATCATAAGCAAACTACTAAGCCTAAATAGAGAAAAACATCTCATCTGTAAAATGAAGATAGCATCTATTTCACTAGGTTACCGTGAAGTCAGACTAAATAGCCATCAAAAGATGGAAAAATCAATGAATCACTTATGTAGAAGATTCGCTTTTACTAATTAAAAATATAAATGATAGTTTTTCCTCTTTCCATATAATCATCTATTCATCCAACAAATATTTACTACATGCAAGATTATGCTCTGCACTGGAACAAGAGATAAAAGGCAAGGTCTTTGTCCTCAACGAATTAAACCTAGATTGGGAAGTTCATCTATTACCTTCTTTCATCTCCATTTGTACTTTTGAACCCACTTGTTTGTGTCCCCTATTGGGTCCTGCTTCTTGGTTAAAAAATAGACAGACCTAAGTTCAACCAGCTGCACCACGTACTGGCTGTGAGAAGATGGGCAGCTACATTAAACAAGCTCTTTAAGCCTCAATTTCCTCATTTGTAAAATGGAAAACTGGTAAAATGTAAATACTTCACAATTCTCTGGAAAATTAAAGAATGTATGCAAGGAGCTTAGCATAGTTTCCAGAATGTTATAAGCACTCCAAAAAAAGTAATTTCTTATTCTTATTCTTTTGACTAATCAAGTACAGTAGCAAGAAAGGGGAAAAGAGGAGAAAAAGAAATTCAATCTGTAGCTGTGAACAATCACTTAAGGTCACTTGATCACTTACTACCTCTGGACCAGGAAAAAAAAAAGGTAATTTCTTTCTTTTTTTTTTGAGTTGGAGTCTCACTCTGTCGCCCAGACTGGAGTGCAGTGGCCGCTCCCGGCCACCGCAGCCTCGACCTGCTGAGCTCCAGCGATCCTTCCACCTCAGCCTTCCGAGTAGTCGGAATTACAGGCATGCGCTACCACGCCGGGCTGATTTTTTTATTTATTGTAGAGATGAGGTCTCGCTGCCCAGGCAGATCTCGAACCCGCGGGCTCAGGCAATCCACTCACCTCAGCCTCCCAAAGGTGCAGGATTACAGGCTGAGCCACCGAGCCCGGCTGGTAATTTCTTATTATCTTCTCTCCTGCATCTTTAACCTTTCCTTGCTTCTCTCTGGCCATTTTCCCTCGACTATTACACACTATATAATATTGTATAAGTCATATATTGCGGTATAGTATAGAGTATATGTGCATATGATATAAATATACTTAAACTTCCCTTAATCACGTGTTCTCAAATGCCTGCGTACTTTTCCATGCTCTTTCTTCCTTCTCCTCCTAACCCTGCATCTTTAAAGCATTTTCTAAATCATCTCTACTTCCCAATCATTTTTCAACCCTGAAATGTGATTGTGTTCTCCCTGTAGCTGCTTTGGGAGGGCACCAGCCATCTCCACGGGCCATATCCAACAAATACTGTACCATTTCAATCTCAGTAGGCCTTTCTGCAAAACCTGACATTAGTAGCCTCTCTTCTGATTCTCTGACCATTTCAGTGTCCTCCTGAACTTGCTCTTACATGGTTTTCATCTGTCCATTGCTCTCCTCACTCCTCATGCCCACTCCAAGCCGTTTCTTCCACTCTTATGGTTTCACCTCTGCCTATAAGCTAATGACAACCAAATCTCCAGTCCTGTTATCTCTTCAGATTGTCACAATTTTAACTGTCTGTTAAAGTCTCTCCACTGAGACACCTTGCAAGAAACTGAAATCATCCTTCAACTCACCTCATTCAAACTTGTTTCCATCTGTATGTTCCCCACTTTAGGCAGTGACACCTTTGAGATTCTTTAAACTAACTCAGGGTAATCTGGAAGTCATGAGGGACTTTTCCCCAAATTCAATCACCAAATCTTATTGACATATCTCTTTGACATTTCTTGAGAAAATCTTCTCTTTTTTCTTTTTATTATAAAGATGTGGGGTACAATTCAGGTTAAGTATACAAATGTTCATTATGCAGGTACCCTTGTTGATGAGGTGTGCCCCTCCCTCCACTGGCAGTTTCCCTCAACTGCCAATCCCTTTCTTAAAATATTATAATTGTTCAAGGTCCACTTATGAGTGAGAACACATGGTACTCAGTTCTTTGTTTCTGTGATAGATCACTGAGTATGATCGACTCTAAATCCATATTCAAGTTGCTGTGAAGTCCATATGTTTGTCCTTCTTTATGGCTGCGTAATATTCCATTGTGTATATGTACCACATTTTTAAAATCTAGTCCAGCTTCAATGGACAACACGGTTAGTTCCATGTTTTTGCTATTGTGAATAAAGCTGCAAAAAGCATACCTGTGCACGTATCTTTTTGTAGAATGAGAAGATCTTTTCATTGTACTAGTTCCCACGTTCAGAACCTCGCTTTGCCTGGACTCCAACAAGCGTCCCCGCCCTATCTCCCATCATAACCATCTACCACACTTTACCAAAGTGTTCAAGCTAAACTGCAAATATGTGTCACAAATGTCAATGGCTACTCTCCACACATCAAGTAAAGCGCATACTCCTTACAAGACAAGTTTTTCTGTGACTTGGTACCAGTTCACCTTTTCAGACTCAACTCACTTCTCACCTTGACCTTCATGCTCTAATAATATCCAATTTATTTTATTTTTTTCTCACATGCAGTTCCTATGCCTTCATCATTGCTTTTGCTCATTCAGCAGTTCTAACTGTAAGGTTCTTCTTGCCCTGGACTTCTTTATCATTAAGACTAAAATCAAGCACACCTCCTTTGGGTACCAATCACAACAAGGTAATCCTTCCAAAACACAGGGCTGAAAATACTTTCCCTGTAATTGCATAACAATTCTTGTACAGCACAACAGTTTTTGCTATATGTTTTCCTTAGAAAAGTGAAGGCTCTTGGAGGGCAAGCACTCTGTTTTATCCCCATTTGCATCCCACCTTTACTATAGTGCCCGCTATAACACAAATGCCCAGTTAAATGATTTTCGGTCTCTCCCGCGCCCACCCCACCCTCGGTTCCGCCACACCCAAACACACCAACTCCAGGGGAAATGAGCACGACCAGGCATTGGGACTCATATCCTAACCCTCTTTCTCGATTCAGGGTGGGAGCATTCTAAGGACAACGAATGCGAAGAGCAGAGAACTCCTATGTGGACTAGCCTCAGCAGGACTGCAACTTCCAGAAGGAGCTCTCTTTCAGATCACCCCGTCCCCTCGTCAGCCCAGAGCACGTTTACGCGCTCGGGTAAACACCTGCGCCCGAGAAGACGGCGGTGACTGCTGTGATTTCGGTAGGTGCCTAAGGATTCCCTTCTCCTCGTCTCACCGTCCTCACCCCATCCCGTTCCCTGGCTGGAAGCTGCGCTAAGCACCTCAGGCTCCCAATCCTCACCTCGACCTCCTTGGGCACTGCACAGGACGCTCAGCCTCCAGAGGGCGGCCATCATGCTCCTGCGGGATCAAGGTCACACGCCAACCCGGAAGCACTTACGCGACCATTCCCACCCCGCGACAACGAAAAATAACAAAGAGCAGGAAGCCGCTGGGTGAACCGGAAGTCGGGAGGCGGGGCGCGCCACCGCGCTTGCGCAGACGCGCTGGTCGGAAGACTCCCAAACCTTGCGCGGACAATGGCGGGGCTGGGAGAAGCGGATGAAGCTGAGTTGCAGCGCCTGGTGGCGGCCGAACAGCAGAAGGCGCAGTTCACAGCACAGGTGCGGGGACGGGGATTATTAGCTCTGAAGGTTGAAGGGAGAGGAAGGCCCCGGGAACCCTCAGGTTTGAACACTGGCGGCCCAGCCGGGCCGTCTGCAGCTCGATCCCGGCTCCACCCCATTAAGTCCTGGCTTTTCTGCCACTGGTGACTGGTAGTGCTCAAGTACCGACTAAGCAAGCGCAGCGTGGAGAAAAGAGGTGTAAAGCAGGGAGAAATGTTTGGGCGACTCAAGGACACGGGAGCCTCGCTAGCCAGAGGCCTGACTGGGCTGGCCTTCGGAAAATCTGGGTTCTAATCCTCCCTCTGCCCTTTGCAGGCCACGTGCCCCTAGCCAAGACACCCTTCCACTGTGGGTTTTGGTTTTGCAGTCGCCCATTGTGAGGATTATAAGCGATAATGTACTTGAAAACGATGGAGCAGTGGAACGTTATTGAAGAAACGTTCTGGCGCTGAAGTCGTCAATGTATAGTATTGATTAGAACAAGGGTTTGGAGCCCTTCCGGCATAGTTTGAACTTTGCGTGACCCCTTGTTGGCTACGTGACCTTGGACTAATTACTTAGTCACGCCTATTAAATGAAGGTATGATGGTAACGATACCCATCCTTTAGGACTTTAGAAAGAACTGACTACTTAGTGCCCAGCCTTCCAAATGGTAAAAGCTCTTGATAAGACGGTATTTTCTCCCTTTTGGATGAAAGGGATAAGGTGCGCAGGGGGTAAGTAGCAAAAACCCTGCTTAGAAATCTTGAGTTCTGGACATTCTTCAAGTGCACATGAATTTTCTTGCCTGTATGTGCACTCTTCTGGGGAGTGGATTTCTAACCTTCATCAGGTTCTTGAATGTGTCCGTGACCACCAAAAGGTAAGAACTATCATCTCTAGGGGGGAGGTTTGGAAGAAGATGAATGTAGTGCTTTGAGAGAATGAATTGGTACCTACTTTCCTAGTTTACACTGGTGCTAGCTGCTGGAAATTTTTTTTTAAAGGTATTAGTATTAAGAATTTTCAGTCTGTAGGGATGGGGATCTGGGTCTATACTGGAGATAAATTAGGAAATGAAGAAGACAGCCCCAAAGTGACTCCACGGTTTGTTGATTGAAATGATTTTCTCGGGTGACAAAAATAAGGCAATAAAATAAACAGAATTGGGCTTATCTGCAGACCCCAATGGTTACTATTTTTCTTTCCTCTTAGGTGCATCACTTCATGGAGCTATGCTGGGATAAATGTGTGGAGAAGCCAGGGAATCGCCTAGACTCTCGTACTGAAAATTGTCTCTCTAGCTGTGTGGACCGCTTCATTGACACTACCCTTACCATCACCAGTCGGTTTGCCCAGATTGTACAGAAAGGAGGGCAGTAGGCCATCTTCTGGGAGAATGATGGAAGCAAAGGACTCGTTACTAAGCAGACTGAAGGGCCATTGGGGGAAGATTGTCAGCCCATTGTCAAGTTAGCATCAGGCTGTTAACACATTTGTCAGTGCCAAAAAATAACAGATCAGATGTTGAAAAAGTGAAATTATTTATTTGGAATTCATAAATTCCAGGTTGTATCACATGTTATTCAATAAATGTGAATTCTTCATCTCTTTTTTAAAAATCCTTCTTAGGATTTAATGTAGAGATCACTGGTAGGAACACTAGAAATAAATATATATGTTCCACAGCCAGTAGTGCAAATGGGAGAATGTAGGTTTTAAAGAGCCACCCTAAGCCATAGTTTAGAAAGCTGGAAGTATCAAAGCCTAAGGCATAGAAGAGAATTTGGGGTTGAGAAAGGTGAGGAACTAAAAACTGCTTTATTACTTGTACATAGCCAAGGTAAACATGGCCCCCAAAAAAAGGCAAGATGTGTATTCTTTGGGAAACAGATAAGCCTGCCAGTGTGAGAGGAAAGGAAGGCTAGGTCAAATAGAGCCAACTTCGTAGAGATGCCTTATTCCACTGGCCCATTTTCCTGAGAAACCATGCTAAAAACTCCTTCCAACAAAGATATCACTTGTTCCAGAAGCAAAATAGGTTAAGAGGTAGTGATTATATTCCTCTCCCCCTTTAGGCCCTCAGTAATCCCAAAGATAAAAATGTATACCATAGAATATTGGCAATTGAATAGTAAAGTATTAATATTTCAAATAAATATCCCAAAAGGTAGCACCTGCTCATAGTTAAGGGATAGGGCACCTCTGACCATGTATTTTAAGATCAAGCACTTTATTAGAAATCTGTTCCATAAAGAGAACAAATTTAGTAGTTAGGACTATAAAATGCCACCTCATGGAATGTCATCATAGTTGTATTCTATTGCTGGTGTCTCATACTGTCATGTTACCAAGAAACAATTTTGTATTATACATGGGGAAAGTAAGGCCAGGGAGGTTAACTTACCTGCCATGACTGCCTCATAACCAATTAGTGGCAGAACCAAGACCAAAAATCTGAGTTTTCAAGCTTTTTACTCCACCCATGAAGTGACAACCAGAAAAAAATGACCATGTCACTTGACCTTTTCTCCCATAGTGAAAAAATGCACTTGTGTTCTGCCAGCCTTCTTTCAGTGATGTTTTGGTTTCTTAAAAATTAACATAGTAGGAATCACAGTATAGCAAAGGGAAATAATGTGGTCTCAGCTTGGTGCTTTAATCCAAAGGCATACTGGGAAGAAGTGGATATATCCCTGAGAAGCCTGTTTCCTTTTGGAAGTGACTCGACTTAGTTTCAGGGAAAATCTAAAATTCATTAGCAGATTTAGAAATGAACAAGACAACATTTAAATGGCAGTTACTGCCCTGAATCCTGTTCAGAGTACCATAAGACAGCCTAACTAATTCATGATTCTTTCCCATTTGATTATTTATGCCAACTGAACAAATAATTTTGAACGCAAACCCATTTAGGCAATATACAGCAATGGAACTAGAAGACTATTTATGAGGGGAGACCCAAAAAAATTATTTTTTGAAGGGCAGCCCCTTGTAGTATAGGCTTCCCCTGCTAGGTTAGTGCTCTAGGAACCATCAGCATCAGTGTACCAGCTAGCATTGTTGTGAGAATCTGTGATTAGGCTTCAGTGAATTTTGGAGATTCAACGTGTTTGCCCATTTCATGATGGGTGACTTACAAGGACACCTGCCCACTCCATGCTGAGTGTTCAGCACTTCTTTTACTGAAAAAGCCATGACCCTTGTGCCCCACCCTCCTTGTTCACCCAGTCTTGTCCTGAGCAACTTTTTTGTTTCCTCAATGAAAAAGTCCTCAAAGGGAAACATTTTGCCAAAATGGAAGAGGTGAAACAGAACGGGAAAAACACTAAAAGACATCAAAATTGATGAGTTCAATAACTTTTGAGCAGTAGAAAAAGCATCTTGATAGGTGTATTGCATCAGAGAGTATTTTGAAAGTGACTGAAGTTTAAATGTAAGAATACACTTTCTTTAAATAAATAAATTCCGGGTTTTTTGGGGTCCCCCTCGTGCTATCCAACTCATGTTTAATTATATAAGTATAGCTATAGACCCTGTCCAGCAGGGAAATTTGAGGAAACCCTAGTCCCTTCCAATAACAGTTGTCTGGATGTTATCATGAAGGGAAAGGGTTTGTTCTTAGGCCTATTTCCTCATTAAGTAAACTGGACCACACTGGGGTCAAAATACAGAAGGAACAAAGCACCAAGGCTAAAGACAAATCAAGTCATGACACCTACTCCATAAACAAAGAGAACAACATAGTGTTCCTTCGTCATACCATTCTACACAGCACCAGTTCCAATCCACCTTGTGATCCCAGCCTTCGATTTCCCCAAATTCATTAACAGATTTCAAAAATTCAGTATTCCAGTTGGTGTACTCAGGTCCTTACTGGATCCAGTTTTCTGGGTCCCTTGATTTGCTGAATATGTGCTCTATGCTAAGTGTGATTAATTGCAAAAAATAATCTCTCCAAGAAACCTTCATAACAAAATACCAGATTCCCTACTAATAAAAGGGGATCAAGTATAACAGGCCAAAATAGGATACAAGTCTGTCAGAACATACAGATGGCACAAGACAGCTCTGACCTCAGGCCCCTTGTGCTGAACAAGAGTCACTCGAAGAACCCCAAGAAGTAAGAGCTGTAAACAGTCATGTGAGAAACAATGTTTCTTTCCCATTTAGTCATCTTCTGAGCTCTCAGCAGACCTTTCATCTGTAGCTACTTTCCAATTTGTGCGTTTATTTGTCCTCTTCTGTATTTCATTGTTAGCTACAGGGATATGGACTTTTTTATCTCTCTTTTTTCTTTTGGTTTTCTTAGTGTCTCTTTCCTCACTTTCATCAGTACTGCTGGATGCTGAATCATCAGACTGGGAAGTGTTATTTTCTGCTTCTAAGAATAAAGCAGATTTTTTTGCAGACTTTTTTCTAGATTTTTTCCTGTGCTTATGTGATTGTTTCCTTTTCTTGGTGCTAGGAGCCCCAATTTCTTCTGAGAACTCGCTTGAGGAATCTGCTGTTACATCTGTGGCTTCCTTTTTGCTTTTCTTCTGTTTTTTGTGTGACCTTTTTTTCTGCTTCTTCTTGTGGGATTTCTTTGACTTCTTATGTTTGCGGGATTCATGGGTAGATGATTTTGCCTGGGGAGATGTTTTTTCCCCATTGGTAATCTCTTGCTGATCACTACTAATACAAAAATAGAAAAGAGAAACTTTTATGTTAAAAAGCATATTTATATTTTACTATTCTATATTCTAGGTAAGAAAGTGGAGCTAACATCTGAATTTTAAATCAGAACTTTAGCATATATAGACTTTGCTATTCTCATTGAGTTTTTGTTTGCTTACCTTTAAAATGAAGATAAAAATTCTAAGCTGCCATACTGAGTTACATATGTAAAACTGCATATAAAAACGAAGATGCTTACAGACATGCCAAACATCAGCCAGAGAATGGCAAAATAGCAATCACTTCCCAATTAAGTCACCTATTGTTTCTCTAGCTGCATATTCAATGGCAAACTGCATATTCAAAGACAAATTCTTTTATTCTTTGTTAAAAATTAGGAAATCAATTTATAGTACAGATTTTCTACTAACCTTAGTTTCTTTCACTAAGCCTATTTGCCTTACCTGTCTGTTTCAAATTCTTCAGGGTATAACTCTTTATAACCACTGTGACCCCATCTGTAAGATGACATAATACATGTATTGTTAAAGCAATGCATACATTTTTGGAAATTTTGCAAATAAAACACAAGATTTTGGAGTACATGCATACACCAACACACAAAACAAAGAAAATAGATGGTAGAGCCAAGCCCATATAGCTCAGTAACAGCTACATTTTCTGAACTGTACACAATCATTTCAGATACAAAGGATTCTTTTGTCCATTTTGTAAGAGAACTTGCCACTGTCTTCTTAAGAATCACTGAAGAACTCTTACGCTCTGCTCTTTAGCTGTGAAGCACTTTTCCAAAAACACTCCATAATATGCTGTCTACATTGGGGCAACCAATTTTAATTTTTATTTTACTTTTCTTTCTTTCTTTCTTTCTTTTTAGAGACAGAGTCTCTCTGTGTTGCCGAGGCTGGTCTCAAACTCCTGGGCTCAAGCAGTCCTCCTACCTCAGCCTCCCAAAGTGCTAGGATTACAGGCATGAGCCATCATGCCCAATCTGATCAATTTTTTAAAATAACTTTATTCACATACCATGCAATTCACCCTTTTAAAGTTTAACGCCTCTACCCCATGGCAACCATTCACCTACCTTCTGTCTCTATGGATCTGCCAGCTATCAGATGAATAGAGTCATATTCTATATAGACTTTTTGTGACTTGGCTTCTTTCATTTAGCATAATGTTTTCAAGGTTCATCCATGCTGCAACACGTCTTAGTAGTTCATTCCTCTTACTGTCAAATAATATTCTACTGTATGAATATACTACATTTTGTTTATCCATTCATCAGTATACTGACACTTGGATTTCCACATTTTGGCCCTTATAAATGAACATGTGTGCAAGTTTTTGTGGGGACAATTAATTTTGACAAGTATACAATCTCAGGCCAAATATTAATGGTCATAGGAATTAGTCACAAACCTGTCTGGTATGTTAGCTTCACAATCATATAACTTCTTATTCCAAGACTTAGCCTTAAGAAAATCATCTTCTAGTGTTCCAGAAATTTCGTTCTTTGGCCTCCAATAGTCTCTTTGACTTTCTTCATCAAAACCATCACTACGCATCTGGCTGTGAGAGAAAGCAGAAGAACTTTTAGACTTAGAAGCAATTTGTGAGTTTACTTTATGGAACGCCATACATAAAACTCATGGAACAAGCTGAGGGGGAAGTAAAACCGCCTGATACTTACTGTTTAAAAAAATGTAAGCCGGGCTCCGTGGCTCAGCCTGTAATCCCGCGCTTTGGGAGGCTGAGGTGAGTGGATTGCCTGAGCCCGCAGGTTTGAGACCCACCTGGGTAACTTGGCGAGACCTCATCTCTACAATAAATCAAAAAATTAGCCGGGTGTGGTAGCACACGCCTGTAGTTCCAGCTACTTGGAAGGCTGAGGCGGAAGGATTGCTGGAGCCCAGCAGGTCGAGGCGCAGTGGCCTGGAGCAGCCACTGCACTCCAGTCTGGGCGACAGAGTGAGACCCCAATTCAAAAAGCAAACAAACAAACAAAAATGTAAAAGACATTATCTGTTCCTCTCTATACATTTATTAAGTCCAGTGAAAAAGATATGACCAGTACTACCCATCGTATTGCAAAGTATAAACGAAGTCAGTTCTGTACTGTGTCATGCTGTAGTTCACTCACTGATTCTCAACTAGGAGGCATTCAAAGAGGGAAATGGAACATGAGCAGCTAGGGACACTTCAAATTACCCTAGATATTATGAAATAAACTTCCCTCCATGAAAACCAAGAACTTGCTGTAGTAAGGCCATAAAACAGTAGAAACAGGGAATGTTGGGGTAGGAAAAAAATTGAGAACTGCTGATCTAGCCTCTGTTTACAAAGTCCACTCACCAGCCAGTAAGCCAGCTATTCAGTTATCAAAAAATTTCAAGGGCCCCCTAAGTGCCAGGCACTGGTCTAGCTAGTAGTACTAAATAGCAAATAAGACAATCAGAAACACTACCCCTAAAGAAACTTATGTTTTAAAGATTTATCCACTTTTTCCTCTCAATTTTTGAAAAAATATTTATTTACCATGACAGGAATTAATACAGCATATTATATGTGCTCTCCTAGGTGAACTCACACTAAAGGAGCAATCATCGTGTTTCTAGAACTGCCAATTGGAATTAAGCAACCAACACAAAATAAATCATCAACTGTACTAACTATACTTCTAAATTCTCAAAGAACAACCTTTAGAGAAGAAAAAAACTGAAAGATACTCATTTTTATGTTAAAACTCTACCCTCTTTACCATGCACACTCCACATACTTATTTAAAGCCATTCCCACACAACCAACCATATACCAAAGTCAAACTCTGCAGGCACACTCACACTCCTTAAATATCTCACACTTTACTGCTTTCTCTGGGCCTTTAGAAATCAGGATTATTTATACTCATTTCTCATACATGTAGCTCTTACACTTACAGGAATATGAGGCCCAAGAGATGTTCCCAATTACTCAGACATTCCTATAATTCCACAAATAAGACAGTTAACTAAGCCTGCATAACCCTTCATATTCACACTCAAATTATTGAGAAGGTAATGTGAGAGGTGGGCACCACAGTTCATGGCTGTAATCCCAGTACTTCAGGAGGCCAAGATGGGAGGATCACTTGAACCCAGGAGTTTGAGACCTGGGCAACAGTGGGACAACTGTCTCTACAAAAATAAAAAATTAGCCAGGTGTGGTGGCCTATAGTCCTAGCTACTTAGGAAGCTGAAGTAGGACTGCTGGAGCCCAGGAGTTTGAGGTTACAGTGAGCCAGGATAGCACTACAGCACTCTAGCCTAAATAACAGAGGCCTTGTCTCTCTCTCTCCAGGAAAAAAAAAAAAAGTAATATGAAAGGCTGTGCTAGCTGAGTGCAGTAGCTCATGCCTGTAATCCCAGCACTTTGGGAGGTGGAGGCTAGAGGATTACCTGAGCCCAGCCTGGGCAACATGGCGAGACCTCGTCTCCAGAATAAACAAAAAATTTAGCCAGTTGTAGTGGCTTTTTCCTGTAGTTACAGCTACCTGGAAGGATCACCTGAGCCCAGCAGGTGGAGGCTGCAGTGGTTGTGAGCATGCCACTGCACTCCAGCCTGGATCAGAGTAAGACTCTGACTCCCTGGGGGACAGAGTGAGATTCAGATTCAAAAAAAAAAAAAGGAAAGAAAGAAAGAAAAAGAAATGATGTTTTGTACTCCACATCTTTAAAATAAAAGAGGGGAGGGGGAAAAGGCTGTTGACCTGATGAAGCTAGTGAGTAAATGAGGTAAAGAAAAGGCTATAAGAATGAAAGATTAATAGGAGAAAGAAGTGATTGATCAGCTAAGTGACTATAAGATTCCAGTAGAAAATCTTAAGTTAAAAACTATCAGCCAAGGTCAGAATCCATAGAACCTTAAGTATTTATAATTGTTCGGGTAGAATTTTTAAATTCTCCATTGCAAGTTAAGTACAAAGAGTGGGGTCGTATGCATCGTAGCCATTATCTTTATGCTTAGGTCTGTACTTATCAAAGAGGGAAGGTTTAAGGACTCACAGAACTGAATTCATCTATTCTTAAAATACCAAAGTATTTTTAAACAACAGTTGATGATTCTGAAAAAGATGAGAATTATTTTGGTTCTCAGAGCTGCAACTTCACCTTGAACTGCTGGGTAACATTTTCCTTTTGGTCCCCTGATAAGCATCTTCCATCTGTTTCTCCAGTTCTCTTATTTTCCACATATCTGATTCCTCCTGAATCTAGCATTTTTAAAGAGAAAAGAAATAAAAATAAGTTACTAACAACAACACTTTACATTACAGAAAAGCAACTAACAAAAAAAAGACTAATTATTAGACTACAGACCAGGCTATGATCAGGGCCCTGAAAAACAATTTGTGGCTTCTCTAGAAAGTGATTAAACAGACCAGGCACTGTGGCTCATGCCTGTAATCCCAGCACTTTGGGAGGCCAAGACAGGAGGAATGCTTGAGCCCAGGAGTTTGAGACCATCCTGGATAACATAGTGAGATCTCATCTTAAAAAAAATAGAAAATAGTTAAACAATCCAACCCAATAAATATCAAATTTATGTAGAATTCTGCCCAATAGAACTTTTGAACTCATGCATAGACACACTTACCACCTTATCAATTTTGCAATTATGCTATTAGCAAATGATAATCTCAAGTTTTTAAAATGCAACATGATTTTAACTGTATCACCACAATTGAACCTTAAGCAATTTTATGAGGAAAACAAAGCAGGTGCCATTATTACATTTTATTACAAAGAAACTTAAAACTCAGAGCTTTTATCATAAAGTCACAAAACTAATACAGATAGAACTTTAAACTCCCTAGGCTAAGTATCTTTTCTCAACATTATAGTTCTTGTCAAAAACAAAATAAAATAGATAGTTGTTAGAGAATTTCCTGAAAACTAGACCATTACCTAAAAAAAAGGATTTTTTTTTTGAGTTGGCATCTCACTCCATCACCCAGGCCGGAGTGTAGGGGCACGCTCACTGCCACCCCAGTGTCGACCTGATGGGCTCTGGCGGTCCTTCCAACTCAGCCTTCCAAATAGCCAGAACTACAGTCATGCACTACCACGTCCGGCTAATTTTTTATTATTGTAGTGACGAGGTCTTGTCAAAATGCCCGGCTGGTCTCGAACCTGGGGGCTCAGACAGTCCACTAGCCTCAGCCTCCCAAAGTGCTGGGATTACAGGCTGAGCCATTGAGCCCTGCCATACTTTATTTTTAAGTCCTCCTGTATAATTTCATTAGGCTTAGGCTAGATTTATCTTTTTTAGCATCTAAGCTTACCATACAACTAGTGGTAGGTTAACACAATGGCATAGGCAACTTGGGTAACAGTTATAACTTCCCTCATCATTTGAAAATTAGGTGATATAATAGTGATAATATCATGATCAAACAAAAAGTAGTACAGCTTAGGGGCCTTGGCCCCCTTTTAATTGTATGTGCTCTTCTAGGTGAGCTCAACTTTTCTCATACCCTCTATCACCTACCTGAATATCAAGAATTCCAAACTTTTATGTCCAGCAGCAACTTTTCTCCTTTCCTCCAAATCTGAATTTTCGACTATTTGGACATCCTATAAACACCTCACTGTCAACGTGTTCAGAACCAGACTAATTACCTTTCCTATCATACTGGTTCTGTTTTTTTGATTTCCATCTCAGTTAACATCATTACCCATCATCCACCCAGTCACACAGGTGGCTACAGTTGATCCTTGAACACCACAGGTTTGAACTACACGAGTCCACTTATATTCGGATTTTCTTCAGTCTTTGCCACCTTTGAGACAGCAAGACCAGCCCTCCTTCTTCTTCTTCCTCACCCTACTCAACTGATTTTCTTAATAACATGTACTTTTCTCTAGCTACTTTATTAAAGAATACAATATATAATACATGTAACATTACAAACTATGTGTTAATATACTGTTCATGGTATCTTTAAGGCTTCTGGTCAAGAGTAGGCTATTAGTAGTTAAGTTCTGGAGGAGTCAAAAGTTCGAGGTTGATTTCAGCTACATGACGGTTTGGCTTCCCTAACCCCTGTACTGTTCAAGGGTAAACTGTATTTAATTCCATTCCTATCACTATCATTCAGTCATTTACCAAGTCCTTTGGATTCTACATTCTCCTACATTCCTCTTCTTCATCCCTACTGTCATTGCATTCATGTGAACTCGCATCATCTGTCACCCGGGATACTCCAATTGCCTCCTAATTAATCTCCCTACTGTTTCTACTCACCTGATTTGTTTCCTACCCAGTCAACAATTTATTTTTCTAAAATTTAACTATGATCATGTTATATCCTGCTTAAAAACATTTGATGGCTTCTTTATTGTCTAGAGGAAAAAGTCTCATCTCCAAACATCACAATACAACTCTGATTACCCACACAGGATGTTTCTTCTGTCACTATCCCCTACTTTCTGGATACAAAAATTTCTTGCCATGCCCAAGTGATTCATGCTTTTTCTCGTTGCCATATTAGTGCATGATGCTCTCTCGATCCAAATGATCTTTTATACCTGGTAAACTTTCATCCATTTAAGAACCAGTTCAAATATCAGTAGCTTAAATACCAATCATTCTGTAAAATCTTTTCTAATTCCCCTTTTTTTCTTTTCATTATTCCCTCCTCAGTGTCTAAAGCACTTTTGTAAGTTGCTCTATTATATAGTACTAATCAAAGTGTATTGGAATTATCTATTTTATTCATCTTTTTATCTCCCAACTGTGCCAAAATAGAGCTTGGCACACTATATGCCTTCAGAAAGTGTTGCTCCTCCCACCTTATTGTGCGCATCTGTGTGCCGGATGACATTCCTCAGGAGGACTTTCCCTAATGGAACCCGGGACATTCTTCAATCTGAAACGAATCAATAAATAACGCTTAATAATTTCTTTTAGTACCTTATCTTTTCTTACATTTTTTAAAGAAGCATGAAATAAAGGAAAGATCACTGAACTAGAAATCTGAGGTCCCGAAGAACAGTTTTTCCCTTTACCAGTAAAAGGGGAAATGCCTGAGCACACTAATGTGAGATGAAAGGAGATGCTGCACATCGAAGTTCTTTGGAAACGCACTAGACTGAACAAAAGTAAGTGCTTTCATGAGCACCGTTTGATTTAATCCTCAGAATAACTCTATGTTTTATGTGAAGCAAGTATCTCCATCCCTATTTTGTGAATGACGTTCCTTTAAAGCTCTAACTTGTCTCAGGCCATAGTCCCAGGCTAAGTCTAGATCAAATCTCGAATCCCAAATTAGTTTTCGATGAAGCTAACACCTAAATTCGAGAGTGTCAGGAACCACAGATATCAACAGTAGCAAAAACTGACACCTACAAACATCAAATACAAAGATATCCTAAATTTTTCCACTCGGGCATTTTACTCCCTACTTTGTGCAGAAGCCTCCAAAAACTAGACGACAAGAATATGCACGTGTGTAGCTAGCAGGGGTTTTGTGCAACCACCCCCACACGCTCACTCACCCCTCGATCCTGGGGAAATCTGGCATCTTGTTAGTGTGAGACGAAGAACCACTCCATTATAAGATCTCCTCCGACCCAGGAAGCCAAGGAGTCGGGGCTCAAAGGCAGCTCTGCAGTTTCACCTGAGTCCTTCGTGAAAACGCAGCCTTCCCACCGGTTATTCTGCCCTCACCTGTGGCCCAGGCCACGGCTGCCTTTCCCCCAGCCCAGATCGACAGGCAGATCTCTTTTCCGAACTGAGGCCGGAGGCTGAGCCGGCGCGGATTTCGGACGGCCGGGTTGACCCGGGCATTCCCAGCTCGCGCTCCGCTGGATGGGCCCCGGGGGTTGGGTTTCACGCCCCAGAAAGGAAGGGGACGCTCCGGACGAGTACGACCTCTGCTTGGGCCCCAGGAAGTGTCTAGGGAGCCTGAGGGGGGAGTGGAGGTTTCCAAGAGGAAGAGAGAAAATACGCCCCCATCGTTGTTACCGGGATCCCCGTCCCCCAGCGGCCTCGGAGTTCCCGGTAACCTTCCCTCCAAACGCCCTTCCCACACAAATACACACAAACACACCCATACCGTGCGCCGCAGCCTCGCGTGGCGGGGGTGGGGGGAGAGGAAGCGGTCGGGGAGAAAGAGGACGCGGCTTCCCTTTCAGGCCGGAAGTCGTGCTCCCGAGAATTTCTTCCCACCTGCAGCAGACCCAGAGACTCCGACAAGGGAGGATTTCCAGCGCATTTGAAAGGTGGACGGGTGCAGAAGGGCGGCAGGCGCTTTCCCGGCAGAGAGGCCGGTCGGGCCCAACTGAAAAGCAAACCCGCCACCGGAAGGGGGAGATTCCGGAACTGGAATAAAGAGATCTTTATGCTGGAGCTTCCCGGACCCAATTAGATGTTGTACCCAGTCTGGTTACCCTGGTAACATGCGTCGCGGTTTGTCAACTAACCGAAGGAAGAGGTGGGTTCGCCGACGTCTGGAATGATTCTTCGTTAGTTAAGCTTCCTATTTAGTCTAACCCTAATACAGCATTTGAATAATCTAGGGATCTTCCTCATTCTGAAGATGCTGCGGGATCCCACTCCGATGGGAGCGGGGGCCGAGGAGGGTCATCGGAAGACGTAGAGAGCATATAATTACTTTCATGCAGTGTTTATTAAATGTCCCAGCCTCTTTATTAGCGTACTTAATCCTCACAATAACCCTAGGAGATAAGTATTACCGTCTTCATTTTCAGTAGAACAAACTGAGGCACATATATACAGTAACTGCTTACGGTCACACAGCTAGTAAGAGATAGAACTAAGATTGGAATCTAGGCCTTCTGGCACCAGAGTCCGCGCTTTTAACTACTAAGCTATACTGAGTTTTAAGGAGGTCTCATGTGGCCCTCACCCTACACACACCTCCGGCAATTTCAGAACTGGGGAGGTACCAGCCAGCCAGGTGCAGGAACAAGAAGATCACGAAACCCAGACTTAAAATGACTACTTTGGCTTGTGAGGGTCCAAGTAGAAGTAAAGCGTTATCTGAAAAGACAAGTGAGAATTTAGGAACTAGATAATTAAAGAAAAAGGAAAAGGTAAAGCTGTACTTATCTACACTCTTTTAGACACAGGAGCTAAGGATTGCTGCTAACTATACCAAAACAATCCAGGCCTGTTCCTCCTCCCCAAAAGAATAAATGAATCAATGGTCATGCCCCTCCCCGCTTAAGTGATGTCTTTTCACAGGCTTAAGAAGCCTATTCACCATCAGTCATGGAGACATCCTCAAAGGGTCTGCTCACCCAAGTTACTCAGTTTTGGAACCTTCTAGATGATCTGGCTGAAAGTGACCCTGAGAACTATGAGAAGTTCATTCAACAGCAGCTGAAAGAGGGGAAACAGTTCTGTGCTGCCCCAGAACCACAGTTCTGTGTACAGGCCAGGATCCTGGTATGTGGAATTGGTGCCAGGGATGGGGAGGGTTCTGGAATAAGCAAAGGATACTTCACCTGGCTGGGCGCAGTGGCTCACGCCTATAATCCCAGACTTTGGGAAGCCAAAGTGAGAGGATTGCTTGAGCCCAGGGGTTCAAGACAAGCCTGAGCAACTTGGTGAGACCTCATGTCTACAGTAAATTTAAAAATTAGCTGGGTGGCGCATGCCTGTAGTACCAGCTACTTGGGAAGGCAGAGGCAGAAGGATAGCCTGAACCCAGCAGGTTGAGGCTGCGGTGGCCGTGAGTGTGTCACTGCACTCCAGCCTGGGCGACAGAGTGAGACTCCAAGTCAAAAAAACAAAAAAAAATGCTCGGGCTCGGTGGCTCAGCCTGTAATCCCGCGCCTTTGGGAGGCTGAGGTGAGCGGTTTGCCTGAGCCCGCGGGTTCGAGACCCACCTGGGCAGCGAGACCTCATCTCTACAATAAATAAAAAAATCAGCCGGGCGTGGTAGCGCACGCCTGTAATTCTGGCTACTCAGAAGACTGAGATGGAAGGATCACCAGAGCCCAGCAGGTCGAGGCTGCGGTGACCGGGAGCGGCCACTACACTCCAGTCTGGGCAACAGAGTGAGACTCCAACTCAAAAAAAAAAAATGCTTTACCCTTACCCTTTTCCACAAGTAAACTTGAGGACATTTGCCTCTCCAAATAGAAAATGAAACATACTTAGTGTGAAAGATTGTATTGGAAGAGTAAAAATGGGAAATTCATACTTGGTAGATTTTGGAGATTTCAAGATGAGCTATTTTTCTGTTAGAATGAAAATAATAAAATGTAATGATTTCATAGAGAATCAAGGAGTTGGAGCTTTTTTCAAATAAAAAAAATTATTTGGTTAGGGAGATAAGAAAGTGGTGAAATAAGAAACAGATTCACCCAGAACAACTGATCAGAACAGGTCTCCCTTCCTCCTTCCATTTCCTTGCGGAGCAGAACTGCATTCTTGGTAAAAAATCAGAAGCCGTGGGGAAGCCAAATAACAAGAGTGTAATTTATCATACAGTTTTAATATGTGTAATGACTTACTTAAAGCATAAAATTCTCCTCCTTCCAACACTGTGATGAGTTATTTTTAGGATATTAAGTTTTTAAATAATATATGAGGTTTTGAGATATGCAAAATTATTTGCTTTCCAGAAACCAAAAGAAAAAAAACTTTTTATCAACCTATGTCAGTGGAAAAGGATCCCAGCTCCCCAGTCAATGACTCATCCAGTACCTCTACATATTGGCAAACTAGAAGATATGACTGAGACATCAGGTACAAATAGTTAAGGGAGTAAAAGCACATTTAAAAAATTGTATTGAGAATAAGTGTGGACCAGATTTTACATGGTAAAAACATTTTAAGTAAAATACTTTATTTGGAGATAATATATTTAATGAAAAAATAGTGTACCTTTATGAAAATTTAATACTGCTTAATTTTTGTAATAAAAATGAGGTTTTTAATTTCAATAGGTTTAGGGGATATAAATAGTTTTTGGTTACATAGATGCATTGTATAGTGGTGAAGAAGTCTGGGCTTTAAGTGTATCTACCACCCCCACCTGCACACATTGTACCTGACAGGTGATTTTTCATCCTTCCACTTCTTCCCACCCTCCCCCTTCAAAATGAGCTTTTTTTTGTTTTGTTTTGTTTTTTGAGTTGGAGTCTCACTCAGTCGCCCAAACTGGAGTGCAGTGGCTGCTCCCGGACACCACAGCCTCAACCTGCTGGGCTCCGGCGATCCTTCCGCTTCAGCCTTCCAAGTAGCTGGAACTACAGGCGGGCGCTACCATGCCCAGCTAATTTTTTGATTTATTGTAGAGATGAGGTCTTGCCAAGTTGCCCAGGCGAGTTGCAAACTGAAAATGAGCTGTTTTTAACCCACGTAAAAATGTCCAGATGTGTCTTCACTGCTATAGCACCACTGTAATTGCCTCTGAAAAATACAGGAATAGAGTTTATATTTTCCAACTTTATCAGAAGTATGGTTTAATGTATTACCTGTCAATATCATCAGTTTAACAAGTTGTCTTCATTTCACATCCTTTAATTACACACACAGATGCTTACACAGTCATCGATGTTGCCTGCAATCCTGCTGTTCTTCAGGCAGCAGAAAAGGACCAAGTGAAAAAAGACCATTTAATACAGATGTCCATGGCATGCCTGGAGAAGCAATTCCAGTTCATTCTCTCACACTCTTACCATATTACCAAATCTAGAATAAAAGGAAGTATTCAAAGAATGAAACAAAATCTGATGGGAATCCAAACTGATTCCACAGATTTAAGAGAAAAAATGAAAAAGGGTAAGTTGGTGAATATAATGGAAAAGTTAAGTGATTTAAGATTTTTTGCATTCTGTGTACATTTTGCAAACCAAAAGTCTCCATTTTAAAAGATGATAAACTTAAAATAGAAAATGTAGATATTAAATATTAGAAATATTAATGCACCCTTAAAGATTTTTGCCTACTTTTCAACTAAATTCTTTGGTTTAAGATTATTTTGGCTTAGGATTCCCAAACTAATTTAATTGGAGCTTGATCTGCCATCTCCGCTAACTCTACCTATGTTCCAGCTCATAGCCTGTAATTTATGTTGTGGATTAATTATTTTATATCCCCTTTTTCTTTTCATAAAGAAATTACTCTTCAACAGATAAGAAGCAGTACTGTGAGCAATCCAGATCACTTTCCTCAACTGTTACTGCCAAAAGATCACATGTCAGGCAAAGCAAAATGTCTGATAGAAGAGATTTCCAGTACTGAAAATGGTGATGAAAACACCATGGAGGTGGAAACACCAGCCCATGAATTAAAAATTGTTCATGATCAGAATAAGAAGCCTTTGAAAACTGAGTTGAGAGTTGAATTACCTGGTGTTAATTCAGTCTCTCTCTGTGACCTTAGTGTTTCTGAGGTAAGGTGAACTGATAATACTGTATGTTTATATTAGTCAGCATTCACTATATTAAGCTGTAGTAACAAACTGCAAAATTTCAGGGTTTTACAATGGTTTATTCATGTTACGCATCAGCTGGCTGTACTTTGCTGCATGAGTTTTGTACATTTCAAGATCCAGGTGAAGGTACAATTCCCATCTGAGATAATGCCATTCTCATGGCAGCAGGACAATAAAAATGGTTAAGACATGCAGTGAATCCTATCTTCTACACAGACAGGACATATGTCACTTCTACTCACATTCCATTGGCCAAAGTAAGTCACAAGGTCAAGTCCTACATCAGTAAGACTGGAAAGTACATTCTCACAGAAAGTCACATGGCAGGGATGTATAATGCTCTTTCAGAAGAAAAGCAAACAATTGGCATCAGTCCTACAGTATATCACAATCCACCCTCTTGGTAACAAATATTTGCTTCTTTCCTCAAGAAAAATACTTTCAATCCAAATATCAGACACCAAAGTACAGTATTTTACATTCTTCTCCTCGTGAACCATGGATCTATGATATGAAAGAAAAGTTGTCAACTTTCTCAATCCTATCCACTATACAGTATGGGATGGGGTGAGGATAACCGTAATTAACTGTCTCAATTCACAAATGAAAAAAATAAGAGGTATACTGCAATTACTTGTGTACAACAATTCTAAAATTCTAGTAGGCCGACATTGTGAGGGCTCCTTTTCTGGAGGTAGAAGATATTCTTACTTAGAAAGATTCCTTGGCCGGGCTCAGTAGCTCAGCCTGTAATCCCGCACTTTGGGAGGCCGAGGTGAGTGAATTGCCTGAGCCCATGGGTTCGAGACCCGCCTGGGCAATTTGGCGAGACCTCATCCCTACAATAAATCAAAAAATTAGCTGGGCATGGGAGCGCGCGCCTGTAGTTCCAGCTACTTGGAAGGCTGAGGCGGAAGGATCGCTGGAGCCCAGCGGGTCGAGGCTGCGGTGGCCGGGAGCGGCCATTGCACGCCAGTCTGGACGACTGAGTGAGACTCCAACTCACAAAATAAAAAATTAAAAAAAAAAAAAAGATTCCTTGATTACCTAGCTCCCCAGTTCCATTGTCTTCCATGACCTTCAGCTCTATCATTGAGAGTTGTTTTTTGTTGTTGTTGTTTTTCCCAGCATCCACCTTGGCCACATCTGAAGAATGTTCAGAGAATGTGCCATTTTTAGGTGCTAAGTAGCTTTCTCAGTCTGTTTCTTGCTCATGGAATGTTGGGGTCCGAAAGATGTTTTAAATTTTGAAGGCAGTTTCTTTTAGTCCAAGCTGGTAGCATTTTATTTTATTCTAGTCAGTGCTATACCCACAATTCTTTTTTAGACATGCCCATATTTCAAGACTTGCCTGTCTCTTGAGACTTAGTTGCTGTCATTTTAGCCAAATTTACGGATTTACTGAAATTCACCTTAATCCATTCAGAGGTTTTAATAAAGGGCATGAAGACCTGTGGTTTAGTCTTTGCCTCTATACTGCCTTAATCAGTCTTTGGTGATAAAAATAATTTCTCAATTTTATCCTCTACTGGTTGAAAATAAAAATTAGTTCCATTTTTCAGCTATTAAGTTTTAGAATTTTGGGGCTCTGTAAATGTCAATTCTACTAGCAAACTGGGCAGCTCTTTTCTAAGCTCACCTCTTTCTACCTCATTAAATAGAGCAAATAGAATCAACGCTTGAACCATTATTTTCCCTTCTTCACCTAAAGCCAAATATTAACTAGGTACATTATTAGACTTCCAAATTACTGATGACAGTTTCACTAGAGGCTTTATCACTATGAAACATGAATAACCGTCTTTCCAAGCTCCAATAAGCATTCTTGCTGTTTGCTAGCCAACCACATAATTTAGCATGGCAACACCCTACTCTGATACAGTATCAGATAACATCTGAGATGTTGAGCAGCAATAACAGCCTCAAAATCTCAGAGATTTACAACAGCAATTTCATTGCTCATTGCAAGCCACGTGGTAATAAATAGGATCCTCTTCTTATGGAAAATAAGTAAATAACTAGGATCTCCATCTCTCTCTCTCTCTCTCTCTCTCTCTCTCTCTCTCTCTCGATTTATCATTCTTAGGATGATTTATTGATTGAAGTCTCTGAGAAGTACAGATTATATCTGAATCTTCCAAAACCTATTGATATGGCAATGACTACAGCAAAATTTATCAAAGAGAAATCTATATTAATCATAACAATGCCATTGGTATAAAACAAGTACATCATGTGTTTTCAATGGTTAAATCATATTAATTAAAGGACTTTCATTACAGGTAGAGATTGTAGTTTATCTTAAACATTAATTGCATTATTTTCTGAGAATTCAGTTTGATGGAATGAGATTTTCTCTTTAGCTGCTGTATCTATTTTTAAATTTATTTTTGCCTTCTGAAATAGACTTGTGTCAACCAGAAACTATTAAAAAACAGTAGTTATGGTGTATGTGTTTTAAAGATATTTGTAGTAATCATCAGTAACTTATCACTTGGGAAAATTATAATTGTCTTCAAGCAACATGAGAACTCTTAGTTTACTACTGGAGAAAAAAAAAGGCTACATTTTTTTGCATCAGGAAAAAAAATCCCAGACTGTGTAAGAAGATTTTTATTACCACAATGTGCTACAGCAGTGAAAGTCTCCTCCAACAATAAAGTTACATGGCTAAAATAAGAACATTCAAGCCTATGCTTCTATGAACCTCTGTATTTTGATAAAACAGTTCTGCCACATGTCCCAACTACACAGCCAGATCTTTTAATATCAGAAATGGACTTGGTTATAGATTGTGGATTGGATAGGATACAACAGAGTAACAGTAATTAGATGTTACTGCACATCATAAGCAAAATATATCCATCTCTTATTTGAAGAAAAAAAGAGTTGACTTTGGGATAAGTGCTTTTCTCTCAAAGAAATCATCAGAAGTACAGAAGTGATGAACTTTTCAACTATCATTCATCTCTTCTAAGCTGTCAAAAACAAACCAACTATCTAATTTATATACCAAGTAAACTATATGCATATCAATCTTTAAACATCCCTAAGTCATCTTTTCTTTCCTTTTTTGAGTTGGAGTCTCGCTCCGTCACCCAGGCTGGAGTGCAGTGACATACTCACAGCCACCTGCTCAACCTGCTGGGCTCAGGCGATCCCTCTACCTTAGCCTTCCAAGTAGCTGGAAGTACAGACACGTGCCACCACACCCAGTTAATTTTTTGATTTGTTGTAGAGATGAGGTCTCGCCATGTTGTCCAGGTTGGTCTTGAACCTGTGAGGTCAGACAGTCCTCTCACCTCTGCCTCCCAAAGTGCTGGGATTAAAGGCAT